CCGGGTGTACGTGCAGCGTGGTACATGCGTCGTGTACCCGCTGTAGGTGCGTGTATCTCCGTTGTATCCGCGTGTACCGTGCCGTGTATATCCTGTAAACCCGGCGTGTACGTGCCCGTGGTATCTCGTGTACGTGTACCGTGTACGTGCGTTTTTATGCTGTGTATACGTGCGTGTATCTGCGTGTACGTGCGTGTACCGCTGTCGCGTACGCGTTACGTGTCCGGTCGGTGTTTAACGTGCATGTAGTCTCCGTGCTAGCCGCGCGTGTACGTCGGTGTATCTGCGTGTACGTGCGTGTACGGCGTGTACCCGCGTGTAGGTGCGGTGTACCCGCGTGTAACGTGCGTGCACCCTCTTCTCTGCGTGCGTGTATCCGCGTGTAGCGTGGTGTATCTCCGTGTACAACCCGCGTGTCGTGCGTGTATCTGTCGTGTTACCGTGCGTGTATCTCCGTGTCGTGATACCGCTGCCGTGTACGTGCTTGGCATCTGCGTGTCAGGCGTGGTGTACCCGGCGTGTACGAGTGCCTTCCACCCTCTCTGTGCGTGCCTGCCTGAGCAGCCATTGTTTACAAAATGCCTTAGCGTTAAGCTAAAGTCACAGCTGGGGCCGCGACTGGTCCACGGATTACCGGAAGGGGCAGGAATCTCCCGGACCGTAAAATTTATAATCGCGTGGCGATCGCAGGTCGATAAATTACGACCGGACGCGTCGAAAAAAAGCATCATCGAGCCGGACATTGGCCGACCAGCACGGCAGCCGCCACCGGATGATCCTGGATTGAGCCGGATGAAGCCGGACCCGGCACGGATCACTACTGACCGCCCCGGACCAGCCCCGCCCGCCAGGATCTGATCCGGCCTGAGTCCTGGCCCGTCCTGGCCCATCCGCTGCTCCCATCCATGTGTTGGTCCGGCTGTGATCCGATAGTGATCCGTGGCGAGACAAAAACGACACGGATAGGCCGGATCCGGGCCGGTTCAACACCGGTGCTGGGCCCGGCTCAACACGGTGCCTACTACGGACTGGTCCCGGATCTAACCACGGACGCCCCACGGACGCGTCCAGACCACCCCGGATGGGGAAAACTTCCCGGCGTTCCGGATCACCGCCGGAAATTTTAAACAGTTTATAAACTTCCGGGGCGAATCCCGGAATGCGCAGGAACATCAAGGACCACCCCGGACCGGGCCGACTGTCCAGGGACCGGCCAGGACCCAACAAGATCTCTCCCCGGATTCAGGTCGGGCAAGCGTCCGGCCCGGTTCCGGGAGCTTGGTGTGACTTCTAGCTTTAGCCTCGTTTTCGTGCGATCGACCTCAGGTCGATGAATAATAAATTAAGAAGGTCGTATAACTAAGTTATTGGGCAAATTGGATGCCGCGTGTACAGTTCGATGGGAGAGCAAACGTACTAGACTGCAAGAGCTCATCTTGCGCTGCTATATGGGCCTACAATGCATTAATTTGTCACGGACCATGATATATCACCTGTCGATTAGCGCATCCTTAAGATCACCCACATATCCACCATGACGCACGAACCAAATTAGGCACTTCGATCCGACGCGTCGGTGTTGACCCCGCACACGCATAATTACAACGTGTGACCTCTAGTAGGGATCAAGGAGCTAAATACTAACAGTTTATTTTAGTTATTAAAGTATATATAGTATATAATAGTTAGTGTATAAAATATATAGTTACATTTAGCCTCCTTGGTCAAGGATGGCTTAGAAGTTATTTACTCGTCGCTATAGTAACCGGCCGTGACGTCTATTACGACGTGTATCAATACAACGACGGGTAAGAAGGCTGTTTGTTTTGTGCCAGGCCATGCCCGAGGACGCACCGTGCAGCAGCGCGCTGTGCACGCGTTTGTATCGTGGTATTGCCACAGGCGTGCCTTACGTTGAAACGTGAGCCGTGAAACCGCACGGCGAACACGGCCGCTGGGCGGCGGCGGCTGCTCCACTTGCTTGCTGCGTCTTACCGCTTCCTGCCCCTTCGCGTAAACCGAGGCATCGTTGAACGACTCTCGCGTGATCAAAGAGAGACCGTTCCCCCAAATGCGACGGTGTTACAAAAACTAATTCGATTTTCTCGAACTTTCACCTTATCAAAAAGTCGATTTTTGATCTTAGTCAGAGCAGCGGCATGTTTTTGCCTGGCGCGGATCTGCATTCAGCGCCCTTTGACTGATACAGCGGCAGCGCTGCGAGCATCCGCGATATTTCAGAATGGCCGGATTAATAGATATCAGTTCGAAAGAGCACAAACTATGCAAAATTCCAACGTTAGATATATATATATTATATATATATACTATATATATATATATATATATATATATATATGCTACGCTGACGTTATGGGGGGGGACCAAGGGTGCAGGAAATGCAAGCGTCGCGATCAAAATAGCAACCTAATTGCCCGTGAGACGCGGTGTTCAACGTGCACTACTCATTAAAACTATGCGTTCATCGCGTCGATAATAGTACGATCATGGTTTCAAAACCTCTCAGCATTGGAAATCAATTTAAAACGCCGAGTATCAGCAATGTGGAGTCCAATATATTGTATGTATCGACGATACTTGTTTTTTTAAATTTCTCACTGCACATAAGTTTTGGTTGCAATATTCGTTCAATATGACGAATGACGTCGTAGTTTATAATCCGCAGATGCACTTTGCACCGCAACGGTCGTCCAAGGGCGATAGCGTTGATCGACACTTGCCTTTCCTGTCCACCTGTGCCTACGTCGGGTAGCTCGTTATCCGGTGTATCTCGGGTGCAGATACGACTCGTTAATTCTGTTACAACTACAAAGTCGGTAGCCCGAGCGATTCCAGGCCTCAGTAGCACTCAAGCACAGATTACGTTCGCGCGGGGTAGTATAACCGGTGTGAGGGCTCGGCGAACGTGAGACTGGCTCAAGGCAATCTATCAGGAATCTATGACGACATCGTGTTGCGCCAAGTGTGCGCCCTTCTGCGACCGCGAACTATGCTTGACCCTGGGCGCCGCTGCGCATGCGCAGACGCGCCACTGAAACGCCGCCCACGCGCCCAGTCCTATATAAGTAAGCCGGTTGCCGCGCAGAAAAGATAATTATTCAATTTTCGTACGACAACAGACAAACGTCTATTTACGTCGAAAGCTAACAGGCACACAAATTGTGGAAATCTTTTGAGCGTTTTCCGTTGCGGATCTGTCGCCGGGTCTTAATACCTACGCGGGTACTGCATCCTCATCGCATGGAAACTATGGGAGACGTATACGCTAGGAGCCAGAGATAAAAGTTCGAATCTCAAGCTACCTCCGGTAGCTGGCGTCTTACCCTTCATTGCGCAGACGACGCCGCTCATTTCGCCATCTGGGTAAATATATGCGGATAGCATAGATAGTTAAATTCGTTCGTCCTCCATTGTTCGACCAGTATATAACTAAACACCGCCAGTTGACATCTTAGTTAGTTAGGATTATAACGGCTTTGCTTGACGCGGAATGACGCAAATCGCTTATCGAGGCGAACAAAGTTAATTGGGTTTATCGGCTAATTCAGCATCTTTGAAACTCCAAGCATCTTGGTCGAGTATGCACTCGTACACAATAGATTCGGTTGTTTATGACAGCGTGAATATTTTTATTACTACGTTAGCGTTTTCGTTGCTTAGTTAGCCGAGAAGCGAGTCAGGATGGAAGGTGTCGATTCCTTCAGTTCGATTTGCGGCGCACGTATGAATTCGGTGCCATTCATACACAACTGTCACCTTCGACAGCCCCTAGCGGACAAATACTATCGAACGAGGACTCGTATTCAGTGATAACTGAAAATTGGCGGTTAATTACGGGTACGTTAATTACGGCGTGTTATTTTAAACACGCGGGCATACCGACTTCGCATAGTTTAGTAATAGCCATAAGTAGTAGCATAAGTAAGTAGCCATAGTAGTAGCATGAGTTTAGTCTCAATGCCGTACGCAACAACGATATAGCGTGCCTCCCTCGTATTAACGAGCCACGACGCCTTCGCTGTTGCAGGAGCCGACTTTTATACCGCGACGACGCGCGCAGTACGGCAACTCGTTCAGACGCACATCCTCGCCGACCGACGATCCGCGTGATGGGGCCGACAAACGTCAAGAAGATCGCTGACGGGCGACGGCACGCTCCGTCACCAGCAGTGGCCAAATGATGCGCGCGCATCATCCTGCCGAGGGCATCGCTCTGTCGTCGGGCACCTGCACAAGCGACGGCGGCACGCCGTCATTACGCGCCTTCGACGCCCGGGCCTGCATGGAGAGCTACCGTGCGCGCACGGCGGCGCACGTGCGTCGCCAGGTTAGCGACTGCATGGTGCGCGCGCTCGCTGCCGGCGTGTGCTGCGAGACGAGCATCAAGAGGCTGATGTTTAATATCAGCGCTGAGCAGCTGCTAGGCCTGCCCGTATGACGCGCGACGTCCGCCGAGCTGACGAGACTCTACTCCGACATCTCTCTAAGAAATCTGTTCAGTCCTTTCCCGTGAAGATACCCGGACTCGCGTCTGCACAGCAGTAAGTATACGTTTTGATGAAATTAGCCGGAACTTTAGAAGGCCAATGCGAGCGAGACGAAGGGAGAGGGTATTAGAGAGGGAAAAAGGGATAGAGAGAGAGAGAGCAAGAGAGAGCGAGAGAGGCAGAGAGAAAGAGAAGACGAGAGAGCGGAGTGAGAAGATCGAGAGATGAGAGAGAGAGACAGAGAGAGAGAGAGGAGAGAGAGAGCGAGAGAGAGTGGCGGTTGTGAGCGGGAGAGAGGCGGGCAGCCCGGTGTAGTTCAGTTGCACACCCGCGATTAGACTCACGTGCCGTGGAGATGTTATTTCGAATGGTTCTCTGTTACTGGAATGTTCCATGACATTTAACATTACTTACATTCCAGCGCCGTATAAGAACCCCCGTAATCTTTTTGTCTGCCTGCCAGGCGCTGAGGAGTCGCCGAGAAGATGTATTTTAGCCAAAGTTGGAACCTTTCTTATCGACGAAAGCTTGAAAGCGTGGCGACGTCTCCAGGCAAGCATTGCGACGACCAAGCCCACCGCATTCGAGCGTCTCGTGCACCACTGGATCAAACGGCGGCTGCCACGACGTGCTGCGGCAGAAGCGAGCTGAAGTGTTGCCGTACTCGAGATGCTGTTGCTGGTCACGAGAAGACGCCAGTGCATGTCTCGATGAGTGAGCTCTCTACTTGCACCAACACGCTCCGACGGTAAGTGTTGCCGCGTCGTAACAAAACATAGCTACAAAAATGCCCATGTCGTCAAAGCTGGCTTGAATATAGCGGCAACTTATGAACATAGGCGCACAGCCGTCGAGTCTTTCCTATCTTTACATAAATGTTAATCAAATCTTTGTCTTATCAACTTTTACTTTTACTGATATATACTTATATCGCCGCGTGTACGTGCGTGTACCCCCTCTGTGCGTGCCTGCCTGAGCAGCCATTGTTTACAAAATTGTCTAGCTTAGCCTTGTTTTCGTGCGTGACCCCAAGTGATGAATAATAATTAAGAAGGGTCTATAACAAAATTAGTTTTATTTTTTTTCCATTCAATTAATTTAATTAAACCAATTTTTATATTAATATTAGTTTAACAAATGTCATTGCACGTATAAAATCCGCGTCTGTAGGAAAATGAATCTTTTGAAAAATGATGGCATCTTTAGTAGCGGAGTGACATGTGACGAGTAGAAGGGTATATGGGAGTACACATTGAGCGACTGGGAGTCTTCTGTGAAGCGCACAAGATGGCTACCTGAGCAGTCGATGTCTTTTCAAGGCAACCATCGTCTTGCATAATCAGCTCAGCGACCGTAGAACGACGTCTTGCTGATCTCTCCGGAAATAGTTCAAGGATAAGGATTAGCTTTGGTTTCAGTGCTACTTTTGGGAAGTGGCCGAATGGGAGCGGCATACACACACGGGCGCGCGCGCACGTACACACACGCACCCAAGCACGCGCACACGCGCACGTACGCACGAACACGCACGCACATACATACAGATATATAACATATTATAATAAATAATTATGTAATATCAGGAGTTAATAAAGACACATATATATATATATATTATTATATATATATATATCAAGAGTAGATAATAACACACTATTATCTACTCTTGATACACACACGCACCCAAGCACGCGCACACGCGCACGTACGCACGAACACGCACGCACATACATACAGATATATAAAATAATATAATAAATAATTATGTAATAACTATGCAAGGTTACTTTGAAAATATACGAGTAATAATGAGCCATATAAATTTAGCCCAGAGAAAAATGGCTACATTTGCCTAATTTGTTATCAGTTACATATTTAAAAATTGAATTCACAGAATAGTTTGACAAAATCAAACCTGCTAGAACCCAAACAGAAATCGTCCCTATAGGATGTAAGATTTGCTATTTAAAACAATAACCATGAAACAACACTGATGATGGATACCATACCCTAGGTTAGCCATGGATCCCATGTGAGGTTTCGTGATGTGATTAGCGGATGCATTTGTGTAGGGTAGCATCGGTTCCAGCTCATCCCAGTGCATGTCACGCTCAAGGGGTGGCACACACATGTACATCTCATCCACACCAAGATATGCCACCTTGTGAAAAGATATACCATAACCAGATAATCAGAATACCATCATGAGACTGACATATACCACTTCAGAAAATACATGAGGCAATTGTAATTTATGGAATTGTTATTATTACTTAGATAAGTCAAGATCTATATCTTTAGTTTAAGGACAACATTAAAATGTTTTAAATAAAATTTCCTACGAATGGCTTCTCCACATGGGACAATTTTGTGTAACGTTGATTTGTAACCACGCGACTTTAAATACTAATACTAGAAAACAGTATTATTGTCTGATTATGTCTGAATAAAATACACCATGCTTAAATAACAATGACACATTTAGGAAGTTATATTTAAGTGTACAGCAAAAGTTGGCAATCTCAGAAAAAATATATCTTCTGAAAAAAATGACAAATGTATCTAAACACTACTGTGACTATTGCTAAATTTCCATAACCATATAATTAACCTGCATCACATACGACATATGCAGGGGTAGAAATTAACTTTTGAACACGGGAGTCCAATGGACTCCCTACCCTCAAAAAGAGGGAGTCCGCAGCAAAATGAGGGAGTCTGCAGTCTGAAGTTCAAAATTAAAGATATTAACAGCAATGCATGTGCTTATTTTTAAGATTCATGCGGTTGCATGTCTGCCAAATTTTCTTTGGACTTTTACTGAAATGAAAGTGTCAATGACACTGTAGCTCACCACAAAAAAGGACACAAATGAGTGAGTGAGAAGAAGTCAGTATTAATTGAGCAACCATCGATGTACATTATAGAAACGAAGAGTATATATGGGAGAACTCCCATTATATACTCTTGATAATTATATGTGTAATTTTTTATGTGAAAATAATAAATAATATTATATATAAATAATAAATGATTAAGTATTAATCATTTGCCATGGTGCTGTTACTTGCTGCTTGGTGATGCTAGGATCAGATGGAGCTGGCACTGACCGATGTAATGCGGTGCTAGTATCAGGCGCATTGGGAGGATCCAATAGCGGTGCATGCTCCCTCCTCGTATTTCCATCAGTAGATGCCTGCCAAGCAGCGGGAACAGCTTCCGTCTGAGCTGCGGCTGTAGGCTTCTGCGGACCAATTATCCAACTCCACTCGCCAGCCGCATCCTGCCACCAATATCCCTCCTGCGTATCGCCTCTATCAGCCGAGGCCTCTCGCTCACGTCCATCAGTAGGACCCTTCCATCGTGCAGCCACCTGCGGGAAGTTGGCACTGCCATTGTTAGGGGAAGGCTGCCACGATTCAGTCTGTTTCGTAGCTTGCATGGTACAGACAGCATTGACATTCCCCGGTGGCGCTGCCTCCAATAATGGCGACTGCTTCGCACTGCCATCCTTAGAGGCGTGCCAGGCTGCAGGGACGGCCTCTGCTTGTGGTGCAGCTGCAGGCTTTTGAGAACCGATGGCCCAGACCCACTCCCCGGCTGGGTCCTGACACCAGTATCCATCCACCGCCTCCGCTTTGTCCATTGGCGCTTCTTGCTTGCTTCCCGGCAGCAGAGGCACGGCCTCTTGACGTCGACCCTCGTCGGAAGAGGGCATCGGCCAAAAGACCGTGCCGCCATCTGGTGGCTGCGTTTTCAACCAGCTGTTCCCGAGCAACGGCTGGCTTTCGCTAGTCGTGCTGATCTTCCTGCCATCGGCTTCCTGCTCCCAGGGTTTTTCCACGGCAGCAGGTAGTACCGGCAGTGTCGCCAGCTTGTTAGTCATCGTAGACTCCCCTCCCTGTCTCGTCTTCGTCGAGTTAGCATCCGCAGACATTACGGCGGACTGCGAGGCAGAGTTGCCCTTCGCAGGGTTAACCTTGAACTCGGCCATCTTGGGATACTGTATGTCGACCAGCTTCCGAAGCTGCTTCTCCATTGCCGTCGCAGTTTTCGGCGATGCAGTGGGCGGTGTCCGAGCGTCGAGTTTTGCCTGGGCGGCGACGGCGGCGCCCTCCAACGCTGCCTCGTGACTCTTCTCGACTACGACAGAGAGGAGGCTACTCCCGCTGGTCCTGCTTTGCTGCAGCGTCGCGTCGGTCGGCGGATCGCGGTGATGGGTGAACGAGGACGCACGCGACCGCGGCCTGCTGTTATGCCACATGGCGTCGGTGGCGGGGTCCGCTAGATTTTCTGATGCCAGAGTCTGATTGGAACCGTGCAGGCGGTGGCGGAAGTCCCTGTACTCCTGCCAGCTCTTTTCGGCTACATACTTGCTCAGCTCAGCTCCCTGTAACAGAGTAAGAGTGAGCGTAAGTGACAGCAAGAGTACCACGATCATAGGCATCGTTGACGATCAATTGACTAGCATTAACTGTGCACGAACAGGCCCTGTCTCGGGCGCATCAGTTGTAGATATTCTAAACTTGTTGTTATTTATTACCTTTCCGTTACTACTTGTGCGCACCATTCACCACTGAAAACACTTCCTTTACATATCCAGCGACACAAGTTTAAACTTCGCCAACTAAATTCATTGTGTTTTTAGCAACGTAGGTTAATTGATAATTTCCCTAGTACAAACAAGAGCTTCAGCAGAACTGTGACAGAGTGCGTAAAACAAGCTACGGATCACAAACTAAGAACAAATACAGGTGACTGGCATCAATGCACCGCACCTTCAGTCTGTCCAACTTCTCATTCACGCTTTCTGAGAACTTATCGGGCACCCCGGCATTTCGAAAACGTGGAAACTGGCGTGTGGCGGTTCCTGATAGAGAGTCAGTGCTCGCCATGTACCCACTCTCTGGTATCGTCTCGAGTGGCAGTATCATGGATGACTCCTCCCGGGCCACCCTGCAAGAGCCACAGTAACTAGATACAGCAAACAAGAGATGCTGAATGCACATATCACTATTGGTTTTGATGCCTACATGCAGAGATTTACTTGAATAATTATAATTATATAAATAAAGCAAACAAGAGATGCTGAATGCACATATCACTATTGGTTTTGATGCCTACATGCAGAGATTTACTTGAATAATTATAATTATATAAATATATGCCTATTAATTATTAATTGAAACCGCACCACATGTACACGGTCGGGTGGCGGCAGCAGGTGTAGTTAATTGTACCAAGCAGGACCAGGGCAACAAGCTGGCACGAGTCACCTACCCGCCTGCATGCCTGCCTACCTGCCTGCCTGCCTGCTTGCCTGCCTGCCTACCTGCCTGCTTGCTTGCATGCATGCCTGCCTGCATGCATGCCTGCC